GTTAGACTACTTACCTGAGAACGCCTCAAAGGTGTCGGAGTGTTGAAAAGCTTGAAGGCGTGTTGATTTGTGGCAGAACTAGAGAGCAATGTTAACCAAAACCAAACTTTATCGATCGGACATTTATAAATGCATACATGTATAGGGGAACTCGTGAGTGAGAGGCAAACATCAAAGTTTTCACAATAGTTACCTTCGCACCAGACTGCTGGGAGATTTGCCTTTTGTCTGCGAATAAATTAACAGAGAAAATGATGCATTAGGGACGAATCAAAGCCAAGAAGAACTGTAATTATTTCCTTTTCCAGCTTCCCATCGGTCCAGAATCCCAAATCCTTGAATCTTATTAGTTAATCGTGCGTACTCCAGCGGTTCGTATTTTCCCATCCGGACCCCGGTTACGGACCGTGCCGAAATTTTCCGACTTTGGCAACTTTTCAAGCTTTTTGTTACACCGTAAAACAACGTAAAATGCAAACATTCAGCACAGAGTCGAACAAAACAGCAAATAAAGCCATTTTCGATTTTTCATGAATGTGTGTCGCTTAGATTTAGAGCTCATTACTCAACTTCATTTCAAGCCGTGCGTTTCTTTCTCATTAACATCAATTTTTGCCACATAAGGGACATTTTTGGCCAAAATCCAACTTTGTTAAACGTGATATTTCCCTACACAGAGGCACATGTAAAATCAGCCCTACAAATTCTGCAAACAGTACCGCTATTTGTGCCCGAAATGTCAAACGCACGCGCTCGCCAGATTTGAACTGAACAGCTGTAATTGAAATTGAACACAAAAGTTGCTTTCTAAGTAACACAGCAGAGAAAAAAAAAATAACAGTCGACGACAACGTAGTCAAGACCTCGGGCACAGTTTTTTCCAATACGGACCGACCAAGGCCGGAAAATAACATATATGTATATTACAGTCGCTAGATGCCTGAAATAACACCAAAAACAATTTTCCATGGGAAGTAAGTCGAGAAAATAAATTTCAAAGCTCAGAGAAATTGTGCAAACACAGCTAAAATTTCATCATCAGTTTGATTTCACCAGTACTTTCAAGTATTTCAAATGAACTTCAACATTTGTTTTCGACATTTGGTATTGTTCGAAATGATTTCTTTTGAGAAGATAATTAAGGCACAGAAGTTTGCTATAAAATGTAAATAACCTCGCTACAAAGTTTTTGTCCACTTGTTACTCGAACTTCTGGTGGATTCTCTCTCAGGTTTTAATATAAAAAAAATCTACCACCAACTTACAGACCCAAACATCTGCATCAAAGTTTCCATTAATTTTACTCACCCCCACCGGGGTTCGTAGTCCTGCTAACCGCTGATTTCTCCTCACAGGACTCCCCAGAGTTCCCTGACACACCACTTGACGTTTTCTTAACATATCCTTCCCATTGTTGGACCTTCTCTGTGACGCCTTATTTCGCTGACGTCTGGACCGGGCTAAGGGTCTCCTAGGACTACCTGTTAGCCGAATTATGCCACGATATATAAAGTCAATTTTGCACAATGTGATGGGAATAATCATCTACACCACTTCAGCTTAAGACCAAATATTGGTTTTCAGTTAGTCTCAGGGCAAAATTCGAGTAAAATTAAATTTCCCAATAAATGACTTCTGTCCATAATTCCTCGAATACTCGCCCTATTTTTTAACCAAACATTCGTTACAAGTTCTCCTCATAAAAGTCAGTAATTTCCCACTTTAAACAATTCCTCAAATTCCATGTCGGACTTTCCAAGTCTGGAAAGCAGTTTTTTTATTTTACGATTTTTCTTTAACCGTGTAAATCCTAATTCTGCATAACTCCGCACTCTGCTACACTCGAGTCTTAACTGGCCCACTGGACGTCCTGTGTGCTTTGTGAATGGCTAAAGTGACTGCTTTGGTTCTGGTTTTAAGACACTCATTAAGAACGGCTTACTAACCAAAATCTTTGTCGAGTGACAAGGTCACAGTTAACAAACCAACCTCTTCTATTCAGTGTTCTTCCTGCCGCTGAACAACATAACGCAGGCATCAGTACATCCGGGCTCTGACCGCTGACGACTGAAAATGTGGTCATCTCTATGTCGTTGGTTTTGAATTGAATCTCAGGCTCTTCTTTTGATGAAAACAGCCCAATGAAGCGTTGGAAAAAGGACGGTTCAGGCAGGGCTAAGAGAGGTAGAGAGAGGAAAAACTCATGAAGGCAACGGTCGCCAAAAGTAGATCTGACTCGCACCCAGTCGCTATTTACGGCTCAGATTGGATTGTTTAAAGAGAAAGCGGTCTGAGTCGAGTGGATCGCGTGTGAAGTCATGGATTCCTTTGACCCTTCCCATGACACCCCTCGCGCCTTAATCCACCCTGGTATCCAATCTTCTCTTCCTCACGTAAAAAGCGACTGGGTACGAGTCTGCAAAAGTATCAGATCGCGGACAACACTTTTACCGGGCCATCTCCAAGGGACTATAAACGTTGCTCTTTGTTCTATTCTCGTGACGACTGAATTGACATCTTCATCGTTTTATTTTCCTCTATCTTAACCTCACGCTTTAGACATTACCGATCGTAGCAGTAAACATGTACAGAGGGTTACGGGATCGACTTCTGATGGAGACTCAGATTCTTTTCCACCTCAAGTTCGAAAAAACCGAATTTACATAATTATTAAAACCAAGTCTTAATTACTTTGAGTAGAATGAAGCAATAAACGGAGGACTACATTCGGAGACAAGGAATATACTTCGGATTGCACAATATTCTCTGAGTCTTCATTTTTTTCACACTTACGCTTCAACTGGGCTCGAGTCAGTCCGCTCTTAAAATTACCTAGTCATCGTTCCTTGTTTTTTGACCAGTAGTATATAAATTTTAGCGATTTCATTTCTCCAGAGAAGAGATCGGAATGTGACGCGGGCCGGACCGCTGGAGAGGTAAGCGCGGGCTCATTATCTTCAGGAATCGCGTTCCTCACCTTGAGAAGGTTGGTTGCTGAGTGTTCGTTGTTTTTTTCTCCTGTTTCCGGCGTCATGGTCGTTCAAACTTCTTTTACTTCTCTTAGCTGTGAAGAGTAAATATTACGTCAACACTGAGGAAAGCTTACAAACCTTCAAACGAGGAGATTGGTGACACCATCACACGTCAACACAACTTTTTTTAGAAAGAGATTCACAGCCACGTCCCTCCCCCCTTCCCTAAACACAATGGTGAGACATTTCAGCCGATATCATGATTACATAGATACAGTAGTTATCAAGGATTAACACGCGACAATAAAATACCAGGCTCCAGTTGTTCGAAGGCTGAATAACGCTATCCACCGGATAAATCGCTATCCTGTAGATAAAAGTTAACAAAACAAACCACGCTGGATAGTGATTTCTCCGGTGGATAGCGTTATCCACCTTTCAAACAAACCGTGCCAGATACAGTTGCTTGATCTTGGGCAAAGCAAAGTACTTAACTTAATAACAACCGAAGACTGAAAGTCGGGCAGCTTTCACGGGCTATTTGTTAAAACAAAACAAACAAGGGAAAAAAACACGCCTATTCAATCGTACAACGCGGATCTCATCCCAGCCTCACCCCCGTCAAAATAATTGATTAACGTTAACCCGTCTCCTAGCAGCCATGATATTGATTCAATCAATTCAAATTGAAGTGATGGATTCAACACTATGGCTGGATATATAAAATTCAGGGATCATATAAAGAGAGAATGTAATACTTCCCTGGGTACCAGAGGTTTTTTCTCGCCCGCGGCGGACGGAAATACTTCGCTTCGCTTCGGTGGGAAACCTCTGGCACCCAGGGTAATGTGAGGCTTTTCTTGAGTGAAAATTCTCACTGTTATCTCGTGAACTTTACCTTGAAGATTTTCTTTTTCTTCGTCTATCACAGCTTGAATTGAGTCGATTTCCCACTTCGGAATCGGTTTCACTTTCCAGATCGCTGTAACTAACTTTTCACGAGTTACCCTGAGCAGAAATAGACAATGTATGTTACTATCATGATAGACTATTGACACACTGCGCAGACAAACTGCAAGTGACAAAATGGATAACACAGGTGAAACGCGTTGATGAAAAACGAGTTTCCAAATGCGTTAGCAAAAACGCGCCAACGTGTTGACTTCTTTTTTCAACGAGTTTGAAACGCGTTTGATAGTTCGCTTATCTCTGAGCGGTATTTTAGGTGATTTAAGGCAATTCGTCCCATGTGGAATTAAATGCAACGTATACTTGGGATCAAGCTTTTGCTCTGCCCACATTTTAAAACCTTAAATTAGGCGATTTAAAAATTCTCCGCCGTGGTCCCTATTCAGCGCAGTGTGTTTAAACTTCATACTAATTTATCCTTTTTTTTCACGTCTGGAAATAGATTTATGCGGCGTTACAATACGCGGACTTTACTGGATAAATTACATTACTCCATCATTCTTTTGATCATATTCAGTACGACATGTTAGAATTTTATTATAGCTGGAATACTGTACTGTAAGTAATGTAAGTATTTCGCATAACATATTGTAAGTATTCCCGGGAAGTATTGTAAGAAACTGAATGTACTGTACGTATTGTATTGTTAGTAGTGCAAGTAGCCGGTATTGTAAGTAAATGTATTTTCTGCAAGTAATAGCAGTATTCAATTGTAAGTAGAGTATTGTGTTGCCAGGGTAAGTAACCCTATTGACATTTGTAAGCAACGTAAGTATTGTTCTGTGAGTAGAGATTGTAATGAGATCTGCATTGTAACTAATGTAATAATTATGTGTTTTGTAAGCTAAAATTATTGAAAATATACTCTGTCATTTACCGTTATTTAAAATGCACTTACAGACTTGCTGGAGGATGCAGCAAGATTGGCAAAACTTGCGCTATTTCTGTCAGCGGTAGAATCTCAACTGAAAATAATGGATAGTAAACTAATTGTAAAGATAATAGATCGTCTTTCTAATGGCATTATTATGTTTGCTAAGCTGAAAAAACTGAACAGGAGCGGTGTATAAGCACTGCAATCTAATGTACGAAGAACTGAACAAACCTGAGAGCACATCCAACAAGGCGAGGGCAACTTGGAAGATCACCGACATACCTGAGGGTAAAAACCAGTATATCTGTTAGGTTGAACAAAAAATCCGGTTGATTTGTTGCGCGTTAAAAGCTAGAATGTATAAAAAGATAATTAAATTTGAAATTTCTTGTTAGGCCAACCCTTAAGGACGTTAAGGCCAACCAAAATTAAAATAATAATTAAAAAGAAGATAATAACGGAGTGATTAATCGTTCATTCCACATATTGTATCTAGAGTTTTCAATCACATGCAAGACAACGAGACTTTCACACGCATTCTTAGTATATAAAGAACTCATAAGAATCTGGCCTTTGGTTCTGCGAATTTGAAAATGATGAACGAGTCATGGAAACGTCATTCAAACATACCAGGGGGTTGTAGGTCCTGCAGTTAAATTAAATAACCATTATGCTCATAACATACATGTGCATGTATAATGATGTACCAACCTTCCAACAGAAGCATGTCCCAGATAGCGAGTACAGCGTCCCAACAGGGTAGAGATGTAAACAGGGCCATGAACCACGGCGTCAAGTACATCAGCGGTAATACACATTGCGCTTCCTAAATACAGGACCAGTGATAACATGTCAACTGTTTTGTTCTTGAAGCCAAAATGGCAAAGAAAAATGTAATATTCTGATCGACTTAGCACTTGCGACCTCCAAAGGACAAGTACATATCAATGTTTATAAAATAAATCTATGTGAGATACATCATACCACGAACACCCTGACTGGTCGATAGGTGTTTTTAGATGAGAGTACCTTAACACAACTGTGACGTTTTAGATTCACGTGTATTTTTGAGAAATATTTTATAAAAGCAATAGAGGGTTTGTCCGTGTTTACATAGTCTTATTTAAACACGAGGGGGGTTGGGACAATTCGAGACAGTTATGCGAACCCTGGACTGCATTTTGGGTTTGCATAACTGTCTCGAATTCTCCCAACCCCCCTCGTGTTTAGATGAGGCTATGTAAACACGGAATAAAACCTCTTATCTATTGCTTAAGTGTAACTGAGTTGACAGCGATTAAAAGTTGTTACAGTGTTAGTATTAAATTTTTACCAAGTGTTTGTAAAGCTTGGTTCTTCTCTGTCTCATCAATCTCTCAAAAACTGCCGCATGTCTCTGAATCCTACAAACAAAATTAACACAAACAATGGGCTGATGCAGAGGCAAACGTACATGTAAATATAGTTATACCCAAAAGAGCCTCAGAAACGTTCTTGCATGCAAGAAGGGTCATATGTATGTCATTTATTTAATCACTCTAAAGAAAAAATAAGAAAATATTCTATAAAAACTAACGAGAGATGACAACATGTATTTTGTAGATAAATGTAATACAATAGATTCTTTTTATGTCGCATTTAAGCAACTCACTTGCCGAGAGAATCATTAAAATAACCAGCTAGGTACTTTGGTCTTTCGAACATGGACACAAGACACCAAAACGAAGCCTGAAAGAGAGAAAAAAGAAGGGGAAAATGAAAGAATTGATCATAAATGGTTATGATATATTTGAAGTTTCCTTTACTTTTAGAAGATGTTTCACTACATTACTTATAATTTCAGTTACAGTGTACCTTTGGTTTGAACACTTTGCAATCTGAAGTAATTCTTCTTCACACAATTGAAAAAAAATTGGGCGACTTTCTTTTATTTCCCATCAAGAAAAAACTGAAAAGACCCTGCACTGAGTGTACAACCAAATGTAGTGCTCAGTCCCCTTATCTCTTGGTCTAAGTGTAGTGCTCAGTCCCACTCTCACCTCTTCTTCCATATTCATGAGAAACATTCCAGCAATGTAGGACATGCCTGAAGAAAACAAAATAAATTTGAAAAGATAAATAAATACAACAGATGGCGTGATATTGAGACCAAGAGCAAATTGCCTTAAGCAGTGACTGAATGGTTTGTCATTTTCTATTGCAGTTTTATTGCAATTATCATATAAAATACCTGAACTGGTATGAAACTGTAAATAAGCCTAGATGGAAAAAGGATGCAATCTGGTTACGAATAGACTGAGCCAGGTCACAAAAGATTTACTTCAAAAATTTACTAGGCTTTTTTTTTTATGATTTAAAAAAACTGTGACTGTAAAAGCAAACTTCATTACACACTGGCAAAATAATATAACTACCCCTGACTTATGCTGTAGCAACTGTTGTATGTAACAATTTAGTATTGTGTTGTCTTTCTACGTATTAACAATGTTGATGGCATTCTGTACATGTCTGGGAAATACACACCAGCCTGTAACTGATGACCTCTATATTCTTGTCTCCTGCTTTCTTTACAGCACATAGATTTTGTTTGGAGAACTAATATTCAGAACATGCATTATTTTGAGGCAGCATCAGAATACAGCGGGCCTGCTACAGAGACATTTAACAACATTTACATACTCAGTTTTGTGCTGTGTGTGTACCTTGGCAATAAGACACTTGAGGATTGTACATTGCATAAACTGCAAGAACTCTAAACAGGGCAGCACGCCCTTCTTTTCCCTCATTGGTTCCTTCCATGAACATCTTATGGCTTGGAAAAGATCTGTCTAGAGTAATAAAAATAGGATAACAATCTTACTTCTTAGCTTCTGAGTGACACACATTTCAAATTCTGATTAAAGTGCTCTCATCTTCAGTCCCAAAGAGCAACCAACTGAGCAACAAGTGCATGTACAAGCACATGCGGCCCAGACGTTGAATTCATGTATCTTATTAGATGTTTTGGTGTGTAGTATTGCTGTGTATTTTTATGAGTTGTGCCCAAAGGGCGAGTCAAAAAACAAACGAGTAAAACTATAAAGTGATACTACACACCAAAACATCTAATAAGAGATTTACATGTATTATCCAACTGCTGTAGTCAATAAATTTATCGGTGAAAGAGGGAAAGTGTGACAGTTTTGCATGCATGCGCTGACTGTCACCTTTGGTACATGCTGACTACATGTACATGTATCTTAAACCCAAATTATTGCACAGTGTGATAACTAGATATTTAAAACAACCTTCAGATTTGACGGAGACCTGCAGACTGTGAACTCTTATTTCCAGCAACAAAATAACAATAATATTACTGGTACAGGTACAAAATCACCAAAACATCCAGGAAATAATGAAAATGTTGTCAGTATTTTCAAAGCAAGCCAGCGACCACTAGAGTTCTGCCACCTACTTGATTTTTTAAAATAACTGAGCTACTATGCATGTTCTCATTGCTTGATAGGTGTGTTTAGATGAGTGTACAGTGACATTTTAGATTTGCATTTATTTTTGAAAATTGTTTTATAAAAGCAATAGAGCACTTTTTCCATATAACTTACATAGCCTCATCTAACACTCGGGGTTGGGGGGGGCAACTGGGAGAATTTTCAAATTCTCCCAACCTTCCTTGTATTTAAATAAGGCTATGTAAACAGGGAAAAAGTGCTCTTTTGCTTAAATATATCGCCAGCTACTCTGATTATAGCAATCAGCTTGTGAAGAACAAGCTTGGTATTGTGTCTTATCTGAATCAATAAATCTTTAAGACAGCAGAGTAACTTCACACTCAATTTTGTATGCAATAGCAAGCTTATTAAAAGGAAATCTCAAAGCATCTGCTGTATTTTGCGCCCTTCGCATTGTAGGATGAGGGGCCTTGAGGCCCTTAACTTGTCATAGCTACCTACCCTTCCAACTGCAGATGCCTACTTCAAAACATTTTGAAACCCCTGTGTTGAGGGTTGGAGGTACAAGGTGAAATTTTATGGGCCATTTACTTACCAATATCTAGCATGATCTGTCTGAAGACAGAGATCTGTTTTTGAAGTTTCTTTTTCCACTGTCTTGTCATGATGGCAGTATCAGGGCTATCTATCATCATCATGTTTTCTTTTTTGTTATCAATCAGTGATCCTACAATCCAGATCAAAAAGTACTTGATGAATTTTAAAGTATAATTTTTGAAACTGTCTGCACTTGCAGGGAAAGAAAAAACCCAGGTCTGATTGCCTGAGGAAAGTAAATTTTGCTCTTGGACATGTGAAAAATAATTAATGAACTGGATTTTGTCAGAGTTAATAATCGTGATATTTACCTGATAATCAAATGAGGAGATAACCTTGATAGCCTGACTACCAATCATCTTGTTCCAAACTTCTCCTCTCATGCCATCTGGTATTCCCAGTTTAATGAAGTGCCGCAACTGCATGATTCATACAAAGAACACAAAATTCAAACAAGGTTAAACACAAACTTAGAAGACCTATGTACAGCACATGTATAAAGAGTATTTCACAAGCTTGTAGATTGAAATATTTGCAACATTAATCAACTATTTATGGTGATTAGGCATTTCTGAACACATTTCAACTCACCTGCTTTGGAGAAAAGAGCTGATTTTCTTCCCAATTTTCAAGCATCTTTGCCCAAAATTGTCTTGTTTTGGAACATTCCCCATCGGATTGTTCGCTGAATAGGAGAGATAGAAAGTGGACTTAAAGCTTTTGATAGAAAAAGTTTATTTATTACCATACGAAGAATACATACACTGTTTATCATTCAACATCAAGCCGTTGAGACTTTTCTGACGACCTCACAAATAAGCTTCGCTTATGATTTTATAGCTAGGCTTACTTATTACAATGTACATGTAAACTTGCATGTACGGTACAGCAGATTTACGCAAACTTCTGTTACCGTTGCCACCATTTAAGAATCAATATCACTTTCTTACTTGTATTCATGAGTTCTGCAATCTTCTCCCGCAAGTTCTGATTCTGGATTATACACAGCAAAGCCATAACGATCGTAGAACGATACATCACCAACACGCACGGGATCCATAGTCGCGGTCGCCATTTTTGTTTCAGCGTAGTCTGTTCTCAGGCTCTTTAACGCTTGTCTGTTGCCGATCCTTCTTAATCGTGATTACATATGCTAGATGAAAAGGTGGATTCCTATCTGGTGGCTGCAGGGATTTAAAGTTCGCAATGGTGAGTAATTTACTTCACTGCGATCGTGCTGAAGAGAAGCTAAAGACAAAATCTCATTCGAAAACAACCGCCTTTGTCTTGACTGAAGACTGGGTCGAGTTAAATTAGGTACCAGTCTTTGCCTTAAAGCGGCTTCCGCGTGCATTTAATGCCGCGGGCTTTTCATGCCGATGTCGCGTTGGTCAACTCTTTCCGGACTCTTTATGCGGCTTGACACATGTGATAGGTCAGCCGGAGGCCGAAGTGTCCTGCCGTATGAGCGAGAAGGAAAACCCTTCAGTATTCAGGATATCGCGGTTTTAGAGAGTTTAGCTTTTCAGCGGATTCTCGTAAAACATTGAGCCGCCAAGTCCCATGTCGGAATAATAGGCTGAATCGTCGCTGTCCGTCCGTTTCGTTAATGCGGGGTATTAGCAACTATCACAGCTATTTAACCACTGCAGGAAAACATGACCCGTTACCTAGGGAATTTTGACGTAAACTGCGAGCTAGTCTCCTCCGCAGGAAAAAAAAACGACTTTTCTAACTGACCTGTCTTGCCAACCCGCGAGAAAAAAAGAAACAGAACGCTTAGGTCAAACGTTATTTCCGCCCAGCAAAGATGGATTTAGTAAATTATTTCACCACGTTCTTTCAAGTTTTGATAATCGTCAATCAGTACGTGTGCTTACGTTAACGTTTCATTTTTCCTCAAAAACTGTTTTTGATTGAATCGTAACTCAAATAAATAATGGAAAGAATGAATGTTTGACCCGAGAAATTTCAAACTATGCAGAACTACAGATTTCGACCATCTTTGTATATTCAGGAGCCCAGCGTCCATCAGCACGCAAGAGAACTTTATTTCTGCGGTTAGGCCTACCGTCCACACTACTGATTCGTCACGGAAACGGAGCTTTTCGTAAACGCTCTTCAAATCAGAGGAATTTGAAAACGCTGGCTTTTTGTTTCCGTGTAATTTGCCTGACCGAGTTTTTCTCAAACAAAAATTCAAAATGAGCGGTGATTGTTGCGTTTTTTAGTTCCTCCGGCGTAGTGTGGACGGAAAACATTTGATGCGTTTTCAGAGTGAAACCTCCGTTTTCGTATTTCATCGGCGTGGTGTGGACGGACCTAATTATTTGTTAGCTCTAGTTGGCTGCGGCCAACCTGATATCCTGACCATCAGTATAAATCGATTCGGGCGTAAATAACAAAAATCCTAGAGACATCGCACGGACTAGAGCGCAGCAAGATGACTGATTTGAAATTTTATGAGTCAAGTCTCAGACCTTCGTCTAAACGGAATCACACTTTCTCGGAATGATAAAAAAAACATACCCCTACCCCCCTGTTACCTTTATTGCCATCAGCGCGCGCTCTGTCTGTGACGTCATAAATTAAATAGACAGACGTAACAAACCTTTCTAAGAGTTTTGTTAGAGAGACCAGTTACTCGATAAGCATTTTTCTTCATTTTTTTTTTCAAAGTTTACACCGTTTTTCCTTGTTGATCGAGATGCTTTCGCCTTTTAACACAACAAACCAAACCACGTCTCAGGATCCCAAACATATGCCAGGGTAAGATATATTTTACATTATGGTATATCACGCGGGTTTCTGCGTGGAGGCAAGGAAGACAAGTGTTCTTGCATGTCTTCCATCATTGCAAGTGGTTTGTTGAACCAATAAGCCTTAGGAAAGGGCATTAAATGACAGGTGCAATAGAACAGTTTTTAATTCGAGTGTCGATTATTCAGAATTTATTAATTTGGTTTTGCTAAAAAAAAGACAACAACAAAAACTCCAAAAAAGATTCAAATGTAAGACCAAACCCAATGGTGAACTGATCACGTGCATTTTCCCGCGCTTATGACTAATAACGTGATTGGCTTATTTTGACAGCTATGTGCTTCCCCTTGTTCGATCAGAGCGTCCATATGTAACATCCTGACGTTTTGTATAATTCGTTGTACTGTAGCACTAGCAATTTCTATAAAACAGGCAATATTTTCTATGCTGAATGACTTGTTACTTCTCAGATATGCAGGCTACTGTCCTCAAGCAAAGTTCTGGCATTACGGCGACACATTCGGTAACACCACGGCGAAATGCTTCCAGGAGAAAAGGACCGCTAAGCTGAATAGCAGTGTGATGAGGCAGCCAGGAACAAGTGGTGATGGGAGAACTGAATTCCCAACTGTGTACTCCAACAATCCAAACCTTGTGCTTGCTGCTAGAACGAGAACAAGGGAGCGATGGCGAAATGCTAAGAAATATTCGTTATTCAACGAGCACGAAAGAGGAAGAGAACTAAAAAAATTTGACCAGGTATTACTTAACCGATGCACAACAAAGTTAGAAAAAATAATGTAAAGTCGATTTCCAGTTTGATACACTTGTGATGAGTGGCTATGGATACTTGCACCCGTTTCGGTTCGTCATGTTGGCGACCACAAAAGCTTAAGAACACTACGATTGTAGTTTTAGATAGGTGTATCTCCCATTTTGAAAAAACTGGATCATTAGATACAGGGGCTGATTTAGGAGGAGGGTGCAGGGG